GCCCATACCATAACCCCACCGCCACCATGGGGCACTTTGTTCACAACTTTGACATCCGCAAACCACTCACCCACATGACGCCATACACGTGGTCTGCGGTTGTGAGGCCGGTTGGACGAATTCTCTAAAACAACATTATGGTAGAGAAATGAATGTTCAATTCTCTGGCAACAGCTCTGGTGGACATTCCTGCAGTCAGCATGCCAATTGCACACTCCCTCAAAATTGCACAATTTAGAGTGGCCTTTTATTGTCCCCAGCACAAGCTACAGAGAAAGAGGGTGTTGTGGTTGTTGTGGCAGCAGGGCCATAAAAAAAAAGTGTCCTGATTCCTGGAGGTGTAGAGGTTGGGCACCCTCTTCAAGTAAAAAAGAGGGAGAGATCAGACATGACGCATGCCTCTGACTCAGTTGGGCCCCCTCTTCAAGTAAAAAAAAAATAAACAAAGTTTGTTTGTGTTCCATTGAGGTAGATGCAGAAAGTAAACCGCATTGGGGGTCGATTTCCGCAACAACTAAGAGCATTGAAGCGCAAGGCTCAACTAATCCGCTGTTTTGGTGCCCTGGCTACCACGCTGTGCAAATACTGTGTGAGAGCGACGTTTTGAATCTTGCTCATCTCAATAGCCTAGCCTATTCATTGATGATAGGTCCTGCTTTACTAATGTTGTGAGACATTGCGAGATACAGCTTTTGATTGCCGATGGAGTCAGAACCGTGCACTAGACCTATCTATCGGCCTCGTGGCTGACCTGCTTATACTGTGCCCCTCCCCTCTTTCTCCGTCCCTCGCTGTGAAAGATGCGAATGTTTGTGTTCTTGGAAGTACGGCAACTAATCAGTCTCCTTTGTTCCAAAAGTACAGAATCTTAGGATTTTTACACTCAAATGATGGTCGACACTATTCTCCACCACTGTCATCGTTGTTAAGTCGGAAAAAAATGGCAGGGAAAGGCAAGCGACAGCAGTGAAGTCCCGTTTGGCAATACTGTGAGAAGTTAAATGAGAACAAAATGGCAACTTTGCAAGATGGAATTGAGGTACAGTAATGGTAGTACAGGTGCAGTGCTTAACTATCTGAAAGGGACGCACCGTAAGACCCAAACCGTTGCTGGCAGCAGCGCAGCTGCATTGGGCTCCCGGGTGGCGCAGTGGTCTAAGGCACTGCATCTCAGTGCTTTAGGCGTCACTACAGACCCCCTGATTCGATTCCAGGCTGTATCACAACCGGCCGTGATTGGGAGTCCCATAGGGCGGCGCACAATTGGCCCAGCGTTGTCCAGGTTTGGCCGGTGTAGGCCGTCATTGTAAATAAGAATTTGTTCTTAACTGACTTGCCTAGTTAAATAAAGGAAAAATAAAATAAATAAAAGTGTGAATTCACAAGGAATTTTTAAACGTTGAAAATGTTTCTGTTTGGTCACATCCCTAGTCACAAGCATGTCTCTTACTTACTGCACTGGTGTGTAGTGGGATCTTCTGGCCTAGGTTCCTGTTGGCTGCAGCTACCTCCCCTCCCCAGGAAAACATGAATGATTTTTTACTTTCTAGATGGAATAGATTAGCCTGGTAGATGCAGTACATCTATTTTGTAACCTAACATGATGTGTGTGTGTGTGTGTGAGTGTGTCCCAAATGGCACCCTATTCCCTGTGGCTCTGGTCAAAAGGTAGTGCACTATATAGGGAATAGGGTGCCATTTAGAACACGTTTTTTCCCCCCTGGTTTTCAAGTGACAGTCACTGGCAGAACCTGATTTCCTAGCTATGACTAGGCCCCTCGGTAACCAGAGCCACTTCCTCCCCTCTCTCCCAACATTCCTTGGCAGTCTGTGGTGATCTATGTCCAGGTCAAAGGTCAACTGTTATTTCAGAGCCCAGAGCAGTGGGGGTGTGGTAAGACACACACACACACCGGTAGGCAGGAAGTCAGCCAGCGGTAGCGTTTATATTCACCTCTTGTTGGAATCTGCGTCTGCTGAGTGGTATTTACAAAGTGCATCAGGGTAGGAGACAGTGCTGATCTCGGATCAGGTTCCCCCGTTCATATAATCAAAAACGGATCCTAGATCAGCACAGCAGCACTCCGACTCTTGAGACTCTTTGTAAATACGGGCCCTGGTGTGTTAAGTAGACTGTAAAAATGTGTTGCCCTTTGGACCGCGGCAGGAAATAATGTGTCATAGCGATTTTAAGTTTTAATGCCGTTTACTTTTGAAGTGTGGTTGTGTAATGCACCAAGGCAGAGCCTTTACATGTCTATTGTCTGTTGGACTACCAGTGTGAACAGGTTCGTCTTGACAATTGAAACCAAACCTGTGTTACTGTCACTTATCAGGCCATAGATGTGAAGTAGGAAGTTGAGAATGGGCCCAAACTGATTAGGGAACACGTCTCAAATGGTACCCTATTCCCTATAGTGAGCTACTTTTGAACTGGTCAGAAGTAGTGCACTACATAAGGAATATGGTGCCATTTGGGATGCTGCCTAGCTAAATTAACATCTCTTCAAACATGGGAAACTGCAGGAAAACCTGGTGAAAACCAACAGGACTAGTGTGGCCTCTCTTTGCCTGAGCTAATCGTGTTTGCTCTGTGTCATCTTATCTGGTCAAATAGGTTCAGACAGCAGTTAGTTGAGGTTTTAAATAATTGCACTAAACTAGACCCAATAGTGGAGCAATAGCACAGAGAAATGTACTTTGAACTGTATGTGTGTGTGTGTGTGTCTGGACTTACTGATCGTTGCTACCTGGCTGTTGTGAACCATCTGGTGGTGCTGTGTGTGTGTGTGTGTGTGTACGTTGGCAGGCTCCTGGTCCCAGAAAGCACTGCATCCCGGCCCAGCTGGAGCATCAGCCTGGTGTTGTGGCTAGCTAGAACCTACTTAACGAACAGCCTCTGTCCCCATAGAGGGAGCCCTCCCGTCTGTACCTGCCACAGACGCCTCCCCCATCCTCTGTCCTCCTTCTGTGTCTGTCGGAGCTGGGTGGTGTTCTTCCGTTTAAAACGGCGAGGGACCTGTCCCGGATTTGTCCATTATGTCCAATGAGAAAACACACATTTTCATTGCGAACACATGCAACACATATTTTTAAATGTTTTCCATTGTGTGCCCCAATGAACACGACCCTGTTGTTCTTTGCGGAGGGCCTGTCAGTTCCTTCCTTAGTCGTCGTCCTCCTGTCTGCTGCTACTGCTCCTTGGTCCCATTGTCTGTCCCTTTCGACCTCTTCTGTGCTGCAGCCTCAGTTGACCACACACAAACACACACACACACTGTACAACACACACACTGTCTTTACTACCCACATGTATTGTCAGGAGGAGCCCCAGCTTCTCCCTCCTTTTTAAAGTTGCATGGCACCAAAGCCACCACTCTGCCCAATCTGCGGTCTCTAGCTGCTCTCTCTTAATGCCAGGTAGTTATTAGGCCTCTATTCTCTTAAATGAATGGCTATCCAAAATAAATCAATACAGTTGAGAATAGCGATACTGGCACAAGTACCCAGTATAGGGCCCTATAGAATCTGCTTTGCTAAATGTATTGAGCATTATTTTGCCCAAGATAATTGTAAGACATGATTAAAATGCATCAGTGATTAGTATTGTCTTCCAACTTTCTGAAGAGGCAACGTCACACCCTGTCTGTGTGTGCGCGTTTGTCTACCACTTTGTGTAGCTGTTAGCAATGATACTAATGTAATGACAACCATCTTCTACTAGATGGAAATGTTTCCAAAAACGTTCTCAATTAAATGTTAACTACAAAGTAGTCATGGTTGTATACATCAATCCAGTAGTCGTTTTGATTTGCAAACTCAATCACATGAGCACTACAAAAAAATTGCTAACCAAACAACAGTCTCTGGCTGGTGTGCAGGAAGAACAAAACAGAATTTGTGGGAAAACTACGTAATCATGCAAAAGTATAAACCAGTTTTATAAATAATAATAATATGCCATTTAGCAGACGCTTTTATCCAAAGCGACACAGTCATGGAGCCCTACCAGTAAATTCCGCTAGAGAGTTATGTAGATTTTTATCTCTGAATGCAGCCCTCTATTTGGTCATCAGTAGCAGCTCTGCGCTGTATCATGTCTTGCATTATATTCAGGAAGTCAGTATAAGAAACGTTCAATTAACTGTTTTGGGTTTTGGGCGGTGCTTTGACCCGTGTGGGAAGGAAGGCAGGTAGCAGACAAGTTTAAAATTCCTCTCTCCTGTTGTCATCCCATACAGAGGTCAGTCAGGGTGTGGGTGTGTTTCTCCTCCAGGGTGGCCTAGGCAGCGATCATGTGCTTGGTTAAGTGCTTCCTTCTCAGAAAGGTGACTCATCAGGAATGTGGTTAGTCGAGCGAGATCCGTACACTGTTGTGTGCGTGACTGGACAGAGTTCTAAACTAAAACCCCTCATGATCAATACTTTGTGTTTGGGCACATTGCTACACATTGCTGTGTCTTTGTACTCTGTCTCCAACACACTGTCCTTGTGATGTAGTAGCCTGGGGGAGGGGAAAGGAAGATAAGAGAGGCAAGAGGAGGCATGGGAACACTGGGTTCCACCAGCAGCCAGATGATGCCAAACGTACCCCACACACACACAAAACCTCCCACATCCTGAAACACTCCAGAGACCAGAGACTTCCAAGGAATGGGATAGTCTGCGTATTACCAGGGACCCGCATAAACCATTACAGCAACAGTCACACAGGCCCCTGCCAAAACCCCAGTGACGGCTAACCTCTAACCCACCTCTGATCTCTCTCACACACACAGGGTTGGGGTCAATTTAAGTTCCAGTCAATTCAGAAAGTAAACCGAATTCCAATGAAAAAAGGGTATATTTATCTAGGGCCAGGGGGGAGGCCCGGAGGAGGGAAGTACCCCCCTTTGGACTCAGAGATTTTTGAATTTTTCAACACCTGTAACTGCCATTTCCTCCAATCTAGATCAAAGAAAATCATTGTATATATTTTATAGATTTTTCTTTTACATAGTGGCACATTCTTTGGGGAGAACCCTGAATCCAGAGCTCAGAACAGGGCTGATTTATCTTCCTGTAACGCACCCAGCCACAGACCACATCTAGTGGAGGTGCGGTAATTGAATGTGGGATGATGATGATGACACTGAGGGGGTTTTGTGTGGTTATGTTTTGGGGCATGGTGGTAGAGCTGGGATGATAAACAGAAAATTAGACACCGACATCGCCTTCCTCTTACCAAAGCTTGTAGCATACATCTGTCATTTTAGGTGGTTTTGCTTCCCAACGTTCCTGTAGATTTGTTCTAAAACCATTATTTGGTCAACAGTAATAGCCTATGCATTAGGTTGATTCCTGCTATGAAAGTGTCAGCCTGTCCTTATTTCGCTGTAGGCTGCTGACCTCTTTCCCCCACTGTGCGCACGGAGGAGGGAGAGATGCATTGTGGAGATAAATACCGTTTTCAAAGCAACTACTGTTCTAGTTATAGCGAGAAGTGTCATAGCTTTCTGTGAGTATATCGTTTATTTCTCACCTCTTAATATTGAGTTCATGGCACCACGTTACAACCGGAGTAGGCTGTAGTAGCCTATGGTTTTGATGTGCCTGCAGAGCACGCCATTCACACTGAATAAGCCTACCAAGTAGCCTAGGCCTGGCGTGGGAAGGTTTTGAGTACATTAGCCTACATTTACTGATACATTAAGCAATTAGCCTGCATGGCCGTCTAGCAACAATATCATAGCGAGCAGTCTAGCAAAGTGTTTTGAGTTCCCACTTCCTCAGGTTGTGAATAATATAGCCTCGGTCAATATGCACAAAGATGTCTGCAAATTCTCTGAAGAGGCAAAAATACTACTGATAATTCTGGATCCTATTTAGACAGGTTGCACATCAACATATCAATAATGTATTTGTTAGATATGTTAGATGAAATACCTTACTTTTTGAATCATAGGCTACCATCTCAGTTGTCTTACGTTAATTTGCTCTAACTGTTGCGTTCCCATGGAAAACCAGGTTTTGGTTATGTCTGTGTTGTCTTGTTGTGGGTAAAATGTCACATGCTGAGTAGAACGGGGAAGTCCAAAAACATGTAGGAAACCACAGTACTCTATCCGCAAACTGCACATACTGAACTGATGGCCTGTACAGAATTCTATTTTGTGTGGTTGGCTATGACATAGCCAATACAGTGCATTCGGAAAGTATTAAGACTTTTTCCACATTATGTTACGTTTCAGCCTTATTCTAAAATGGTTTAAATTGCTTTTTTCACTCATCAATCTACACAATACTCCATAATGACAAAGCAAAAACATGTTTATTGAAATGTTAGAACATTTATTTTAACTGAAATATCACATTTACATAAGTATTCAGACCCTTTACTCAGTACTTTGTTGAAGCACCTTTGGTAGCGATTACAGCCTTGAGTCTTCTTGGATATGACACTACAAGCTTGGCACACCTGTATTTGGGGAGTTTCTCCATTCTTCTCTGCAGATCCTCTCAAGCTCTGTCAGGTTGGATGGGGAGCGTTGCTGCACAGCTATTTTCAGGTCTCTCCAGAGATGTTTGATCGGGTTCAAGTCCGGGCTCTGGCTGGGCCACTCAAGGACATTCAGAGACTTGTCCTGAAGGCACTCCTGCATTGTCTTGGCTGTGTGCTTAGGGTCGTGGTCCTGTTGGAAGGTGAACCTTCGCCCCAGTCTGAGGTCCTGAGCGCTCTGGAGCAGGTTTTCATCAAGGATCTCTCTGTACTTTGCTCCGTTCATCTTTCCCTCCGATCCTGACTAATCTCCTAGTCCCTGCCTCTGAAAAACATCCCCACAGCATGATGCTGCCACCACCATGCTTCACCGTAGGGATGGTGCCAGGTTTCTTCCAGACGTGACGCTTGGCATTCAGGCCAAAGTGTTCAATCTTGGTATCATCAGACCAGAGAATCTTCTTTCCCATGGTCTGAGAGTCCTTTAGGTGCCTTTTGGCAAACTCCAACTGGGCTGTCATGTGCATTTTACTGAAGAGTGGCTTCCGTCTGGCCACTCTACCATAAAGGCCTGATTGGTGGAGTGCTGCAGAGATGGTTGTCCTTCTGGAAGGTTCTCCCATCTCCACAGAGGAACTGGAGCTCTGTCAGAGTGACCATTGGGTTCTTGGTCACCTCCCTGACCAAGGCCCTTCTCCCCCGATTGCTCAGTTTGGCCAGGCGGCCAGCTCTAGGAAGAGTCTTGGTGGTTCCAAACTTCTTCCATTTAAGAATGGGGGGAGGCCACTGTGTTCTTGGGGACCTTCAATGCTGGAGAAATGTTTTGGTACCCTTCCCCAGATCTGTGCCTCGACACAATCCTGTCTCGGAGCTCTACGGACAATTCCTTCGACCTCATGGCTTGGTTTTTGCTCTGACATGCACTGTCAACTGTGGGACCTTATATAGACGGATGTGTGCCTTTCCTAAATCATGTCCAATCAATTGAATTTACAACAGGTGGACTCCAATCAAGTTGTAGAAACATCTCAAGGATGATCACTGGAAACCGGATGCACCTGAGCTCAATTTAGAGTCTCATAGCAAATGGTCTGAATACTTATGTAAATACATTTAAAAAATAACTGATTTCGCTTTGTCATTATGGGGTAGTGTGTGTAGATTGAAGATTTTATATTTATTTAATCCATTTTAGAATAAGGCTGTAACGTGACAAAATGTGGAAAAAGACTGAACAACTGGTGTCCCGCTGCGCGCGAAGCTGGGCCCAGCAGTGTGCAGTTTGACTAGGCTACTGATATTATTGCCTGGGATTGTTCGACATGCAAAATTACTGTTAGATCAATGACTGTCAACGCACTTATATGCAGTTCGAAGCTGAAGGAGAGGACGCATCAATTGTTACAAAATATTAGATATTTTGGGAATGTAGAAAATGTAATATGAGCAATGAAAAAGTGAACTGGCGATTTGTAATGTTTGAATCGATTTTCTAACCGACGCATGCTACATTTGGATCGGTTTGGGGTCCGCGCACCGATTCATTTGGATCTTAAACATTAGAATTGGTAGCTTACGCATATTGATGATTTGTTACATTCACTCCCTTTAAGATTGTGCTCCTAATCTCAGCTCGTTACCTGTATAAAAGACACCTGGGAGCCAGAAATCTTTCTGATTGAGAGGGGGTCAAATACGTATTTCCCTCATTAAAATGCAAATCAATTTATAACATTTTTGCTATGCGTTTTTCTGGATTTTTTTGTTGTTATTCTGTCTCTTACTGTTCAAATAAACCTACCATTAAAATTATAGACTGATCATTTCTTTGTCAGTGGGCAAACGTACAAAATCAGCAGGGGATCAAATACTTTTTCCCCTCACTGTAAATACAGTGGGGAGAACAAGTATTTGATACACTGCCGATTTTGCAGGTTTTCCTACTTACAAAGCATGTAGAGGTCTGTCATTTTTATCATAGGTACACTTCAACTGTGAGAGACGGAATCTAAAAATCCAGAAAATCACATTGTATGATTTTTAAGTAATTAATTTGCATTTTATTGCATGACATAAGTATTCGATACATCAGAAAAGCAGAACTTAATATTTGGTACAGAAACCTTTGTTTGCAATTACAGAGATCATACATTTCCTGTAGGTCTTGACCAGGTTTGCACACACTGCAGCAGGGATTTTGGCCCACTCCTCCATACAGACATTCTCCAGATCCTTCAGGGCTGTCGATGGGCAATACGGACTTTCAGCTCCCTCCAAAGATTTTCTATTGGGTTCAGGTCTGGAGACTGGCTAGGCCACTCCAGGACCTTGAGATGCTTCTTACGGAGCCACTCCTTAGTTGCCCTGGCTGTGTGTTTCGGGTCGTTGTCATGCTGCAAGACCCAGCCACGACCCATCTTCAATGGTCTTACTGAGGGAAGGAGGTTGTTGGCCAAGATCTCGCGATACATGGCCCCATCCATCCTCCCCTCAATACGGTGCAGTCGTCCTGTCCCCTTTGCAGAAAAGCATCCCCAAAGAATGTTTCCACCTCATTGCTTCACGGTTGGGATGGTGTTCTTGGGGTTGTACTCATCCTTCTTCTTCCTCCAAACACAGCGATTGGAGTTTAGACCAAAAAGCTCTATTTTTGTCTCATCAGACCACATGACCTTCTCCCATTCCTCCTCCAGATGGTCATTGGCAAACTTCAGATGGGCCTGGACATGCGCTGGCTTGAGCAGGGAGACCTTGCGTGCGCTGCAGGATTTTAATCCATGACGGCGTAGTGTGTTACTAATGGTTTTCTTTGATACTGTGGTCCCAGCTCTCTTCAGGTCATTGACCAGGTCCTGCTGTGTAGTTCTGGGCTGATCCCTCACCTTCCTCATGATCATTGATGCCCCACGAGGTGAGATCTTGCATGGAGCCCCAGACCAAGGGTGATTGACCGTCATCTTGAACTTCTTCCATTTTCTAATAATTGCGCCAACAGTTGTTGCCTTCTCACCAAGCTGCTTGCCTATTGTCCTGTAGCCCATCCCAGCCTTGTGCAGGTCTACAATTTTATCCCTGATGTCCTTACATAGCTCTCTGGTCTTGGCCATTGTGGAGAGGTTGGAGTCTGTTTGATTGAGTGTGTGGACAGGTGTCTTTTATACAGGTAACGAGTTCAAACAGGTGCAGTTAATACAGGTAATGAGTGGAGAACAGGAGGGCTTCTTAAAGAAAAACTAACAGGTCTGTGAGAGCCGGAATTCTTACTGGTTGGTAGGTGATCAAATACTTATGTCATGCAATAAAATGCAAATTAATTACTTAAAAATCATACAATGTGATTTTCTGGATTTTTGTTTTAGATTCCGTCTCTCACAGTTGAAGTGTACCTATGATAAAAATTACAGACCTCTACATGCTTTGTAAGTAGGAAAACCTGCAAAATCGGCAGTGTATCAAATACTTGTTCTCCCCACTGTATATAGCAATACTAAAATCAAATGATAGCATTATATATATATATATATATATATATATTTTTTTTACACTTTATTTATTTTACTATGTCTGTCTTTGTTGTACATGTTTTAGGGCCAAACTGATGGCAGTTGTGAAAAAAAGATAGTTGGAAGAGTTACAGAGTTAATTGAAAATGGCGTTGTTGATTTAGATGCTTTTTTTCATTATTAGGCTATTTTCTCTTGAACCATAGTCTATCCACTAGAAGCTCATGGACAATATGGACACAGATAGAACAATTTATAGAATATATGAAAAAGTTATTCAAGTATAAATTACCAAAGTTACCATAGCTTGCCATATTACCTGTTACTTACCAAAATTACTGAAGATTCTGGTAACATCGGTAAATTAGCGGGAGTTTTGCAACCCAATGTCTGACAGAGATGCTAATGACTGTGTTTGTCTGTGTGTCCCCCTTCTTCTCCTAGAGAGCCTAGTGAGGAGTGCAATGGAATCAGCGGTGCTCTCTCAGTGGAGTCATCCGCGCCGCCATCGAGACTGAACTGGTGTCCCGCCGCCTCCGCGGCCACCGCCGCCCCTGCCCCAACCCTCACCCCTGCTCCGGCCCCTGTGCCCGCGCCCCCAGTCACCTCCACAAGAATGGGGGACGGCCTGGACGCAACTACGGTGCAGATGTCTTCGTCAGGGAGCAGTAGCAGCAGCCACGGGGGGCAGCCCCAGTCCTCCACCTACGTACCCACCGTGCCAGAGTTTAACCCACCGCCCCCAGAGTACATCAACCCGTCGCGGCCCAAGCGGCAGACCAACCAGCTGCAGTACCTGCTGAAGGCGGTGCTGAAGACCCTGTGGAAGCACCACTTCTCCTGGCCCTTCCAGGCACCCGTCGACGCCGTCAAACTCAACCTGCCGGTGAGTGTTGTGTTCATGTCTGGTTGGCTGGCTGGCTTTCTGGTCAGCTGGCTGTGGTGTCTCACTATATGGACTAGAAAAGGAGAAACATATAACCTGAGAATAGTATTTGTAAGTTGAATTCATTTAAAAGGTATTTAGAAGTTGATTTCATTAAATAGTCTTTAGAGCAGGTTTGGGTTGGAGTGTACCTACAGGACGGTAATTCTCCAGGAACCTGCTTTAGACCTCTATCCTGACTAGCCCATCCACATCGCTCTGACCAAGTGCCACATTAGTGTTTCTTCTCCACAGTGAGTCTGGATTTGCTTTTCTCCCTGGCATTTTATAAATGCGAACACGTTCTGACCGTTCTGATTGGTCCCAGATACAGATGGGTTGGGCCAGAGCTGTCATTGTCTTTGATACTCGGATTGGTTAGAGACGATCCAATTGTTTATGAATTTTGTTTTGTACAACGCCACTCATTTTGACTTCCGCACAAACAACTTCTAGGATGGCAGTTTCAAGCTGAATGTATGTAGCGATCTACAGAGGAGCGGAATTAAATTCAGCGTGAGTCATCAGGCAAACAGACCTCTGCTTCCGCAAAGGAATTTCATTTCTAAAGACTATTTTATAAAATCAAAATAAAATCCAATTTTATTTATCATATGCTTTGTAAACAAAAGGTGTAGACTAATGCATGAAAAGCCCAGGAGGCCGGCCGTTTCTGAGATACTGGAATCGGCGCGCCTGGCACCGATGATCATACCACACTCAAAGTTGCTTAGGTCACTCGTTTTTTGCCCAATCTAACATTCGATCAAACAGTAACTGAATGTCTCAATGCCTGTCTGCCTGCTTTATATAGCAAGCCACGGAGCTAACCATTTTCATGAACGGGGTGGTATACCTAATAAACTGGCCACGGAATGTAGGTAGAGGCAACGTGACTAGGCAACAGGATAGATAATAGACAGTAGCAGCAGTGTGTTCTCGCTGTATAGACAGAGAACAGTCTATACTATTTCCAGTATAGTGCTGGTTTTCCCTTTTCTAGTTCACACCCTTACAACTCTGCACCCCAAAGAGCTTTTTTTACAAGGAGTATTGAGTTGCAAACACCAATTATTGATTCTACTAGTGTTTCTATGTGGGCCATGCCACCCAAGCATCCAACATGCACACTTGGCATATTCCTCTGTCTGTCTGTGACTGTCTTGTTTTAGTTTAATTATACTTTTTTTTAAAATATGTTTTCCAGGACTACTACAAGATTATTAAAGTTCCTATGGATATGGGAACAATCAAGAAGCGACTTGAGAACAGCTACTACTGGAACGCGCAAGAATGTATTCAAGACTTCAACACCATGTTCACCAACTGCTACATCTACAACAAGGTATGGATGCAATAATGCATTGTGGCTGTCAACCACCACCTATAAATATAATCTATAGAAAGGGCTTTGGAACAGCTTACCCTGGCAATTTGAATGAGGTGGTCCATGCTATAGATTCTATTTTCTATGACCACCACACCCCATATAGTTACTATCAGAGCCGTATATTTAGAATTCGGCCAACCTTTTAGAATGGACGATGTTTTAGAATGGATGCTTTTTCTTAGGTAGTGCTAGATAAATGTATGACTAGGTCCTAGGTATTGCTAGGTCTGTGTATGACTAGGTCCTAGGTATGTCTAGGCTTTGGTTTCTGGTACTGTATTAACGTGGGGTGTCTGTCTCTCAATGCCTGCAGCCTGGAGATGACATAGTGTTAATGGCTGAGCAGCTGGAGAAGATGTTTCTCCAGAAGATCACTGAGATGCCCCAGGACGAGACGGAGATCGCTGTCATGACCGGCAAGGGACGAGGCCGGGGCCGACGGGAAGGAGGTAGGGTACAGCACACACACAGGCACACCCCTGGCCTGGGGTTTCCAATACCCTTTTCACAGTACTGAACTGTGTACTGTGCTGGCCAGGTTGCGCGTCCAACATAGTTGCTGGAACTTTGCTCGAAAGGATAATGTGAAAGGGAAATATCCGAGCCAGCACAGTACGTTTCAGGTTGGCATGAGTGTGAAAATGATACAAGTCTTTTGTTTCATGTGTTTTGAGTGAGTTACCTGTCAATTAATCCCATAAGGGATGGGTCGCCAACTGGCACCAAAATATATTTAAATTAATTCAGTTTAGATTTGGGCGGTATCCACATTTTTATACCGTCAATATATAAATAATATTTTATTATTTTTACAGACAAAACAATTTAGCCAACAGGGATCTTTAGGGCCGTATAAAAACCCTTAATTTTTTTGCCTGATTCCGTTTTATTTGTTCCCAAATTCCGTTTTCTCAGGTTTCCCTTTCCCACATTTTTTGTTTAGTTTTTCACTCTCAAATTCACACTTTTTCAATAGAAAAACAACTAATTTGTATTTTCTAAGTCCACATTAAAGGGAATTGTCCAAATTGTTCTACTTCATATTCATTATCCCCAACATCAACATACAATATGTGAAAATGGTGCGTTTCTATGTTTTGTAGTAAAAAAGATAGAGGAAGATAAGTGTTTCCAATGACATCATCAACCAATAAGTAGACAATGCCTACTCATACACCGATGTCATTGGAAACACTTATGTTCCTCTATCTTTTTTACTACAAAACATAGAAACGCATTGTTTTCATGTTGATGTTGGGGTGGTGCTGGAGATGATGAATATGATGTTGAAATAATTTTTGTATTTTCTTTAATCACATCAGGAGACCACTTGAGGTCTGGAAAATATTTGAGGAATTTACATTTTTGGGTGTAGTAACCCTTTGACTCCAGCAAGCAAGAGGCTGTTTTTAGCTGTTTTTTTTTAGCGCAGATGTGATGGTAGATTTACCCACTAGATTGATGCAAATAATCATGATGTCATTCTTCCAGGTAAGCATAGGCTACCTTGTAGTTAACATTTAATTTAGAAGGTTTTTGGGAAAGCCTTTCCATCTACCAGAAAGCTTTTTATTAGCATCATGCTAAAGGCTGCACAAAGTGGTATACGCTCGCACCATAAATACGCAGATGGGGAATTCACCTTGCCTCTTCAGAAAGTTGCAGGAAATACGAATCACTGATGCATTCTGTTAATGTGTTATGGTAAACTTGGGCTAATTACTACATTTAATACATTTTAGTTGATTCCCTACTAATAAGTTCAATGCATTTTTAAATTTTGTTTTAATGTCTGGATTCCGTGATTCCGTCCGCATTCTCCGTATTGCAGATTTTATAGGGCCCTAGATCTTGATCCAAGAGGGGATTGAATGTTTCTTCTGTAACCAAGAAACTTGATCATGACATCTAGCCACTTAGCTAACAATTTAGAAAACCAAATGCATAGCTGGAGCCCTGAGCTGGATATCATTTATTTGACACATCTTAGATTTCCTATAGTTATACTTAAGCAGTAGCACGCACCCCTGCAACCTAATTGAATTTCATTCATTCGTGCATTGTTCTGTCTCTCTGTGTGTCTCTCACACCCTCCCAGGTCTGAACTTGAAGCCAGGCCCGACTATGGATTCTCCGTCCACCACCCCCCAGACGCGGGGCTTCTCTAGCCACTCCCCGGGGCCCCAGACCAGAGGACCACCAGTGCAGCAACAGACCCAGGACCAGGGGCCCCCATCTCTACCTCCTCAGCCCCTCATGCAGACCCTGCCCTCCCGCGTGCCCCCAACGCTACCTGTCCACACCCATGCCCACGCGCCACAGCTGGGGCCCCCCTACTCACTGGGCCCGTCGGACCTGCCTCTCCCGGCCCCTCCCAAGCTCCCTATTATGACCTCTGTGCCTCCTCCCCCCACCCAGACCACCCTGCCCCCCACGTCCATCCAGAGCACCGCCCCCATAATGCAGAACCCCGTGCCCATGGCCAAAGTGAGTAGGATGGAGGATTTGGCATGCATGGGGAGGGTGCTGGGTATATTGCTTGCAGAACTGGGTCATGTTCATTATAGCGCAAAATGAGAATGGCTTTGCATTTTTAGGGCTACTCCATTGGTTCCACTGCGCCAGGGAAGCTCAATCAATCGCAGTTCAGAATGCTTTTGGCAAAAGTACACTGTGTATTACCTTAAGCGTCATCTAAAACGATCACATTCTCCTCTCATACTCTGCCTCTTCTCTGTCCTTCTCCCCGTGCCCCTCATTTCTCTATCCCCATCTTCCCTTCCTCCTTCCAGCAGAGAAAGAGCCAGAAGAGGAAAGCAGACACAACCACCCCCACGGCCAACGACCAGCTGAGCGAGTCCTCTCCGGCCGAGTCCAAGTCGGGGAAGACGCTGCCGCGGCGAGAAAGCGCCAGGCCCAGCAAGCTTCTCAAGGAGGCTCCAGACTCCCAGCACCACCTGGGCCTCGGGATAGGTCTCGGTCTAGGGGGACCCGTAGGACCAGGTTTAGGGTCTCATAGCCCCAAGCAGCAGGAGCAACTACGGTACTGCTCCAGCTTGGTCCGAGACATGTTACATAAGAAGCACGCTGCCTACGCCTGGCCTTTCTACAAGCCAGTGGACGTGGACATGCTGGGGCTGCACGACTACCACGACATCATCAAACACCCCATGGACCTCGCCACCGTCAAGGTGGGTTTGAATGGAACACTATTATGACTGTGTCCCAAATTGCACCCTTTTTCCTATATAGTACACTACTTTTGACCAGGGCCCATAGGGCTCTGGTCGAAAGTAGTACACTATGTTGGGTAAGGGTTGGAAAGAAAGCCTGAAGGAGTGTAGCTCTCTAAGAGATGACCTTGTCCTCTCTAAAAGGATTCCGACATTGTGACGTGGTTTTGTTTACATGTTGTGATGTGTTTTTAGGTGAAGCTGGACAACAGGCAGTACAGAGACGCCCAGGAGTTTGCTGCCGACGTGCGGTTAATGTTTTCCAACTGCTACAAGTACAACCCACCCGACCACGAGGTGGTGGCTATGGCACGCAAACTACAGGTAATAACACTGTAATTAACACCGTCATAATTAAATTACTTTCATTTTCCAGAAGGAACTTAAGTTGTGGCAAGTCGGATAAGATAAAGATATATATATAAACGGCAACATTCACGCATGACAGATACACATGCAAGGTATATACGAGATAAATGTAAGTCACAAAAATCTATTTCATAACAAATGCCCACATGAGCTTAGGCCTTTTCATGTACCTGTTTGCTGAACTATTTGCTGTGTTTGTTTTACTGGTGCAGCAGATGTGTTTGAAATCTGGGTAGTTCAGTAGGGAGAATACGTTTTGAAACTGAGTGAAATTCATAGGTACTACCAGTTCCTGAACTTTTCCAAAATCAGAACGCTGATGTTTGCTTTTCCATTGCAACTAGTTTTGCTACGGTGCGCCCTATTGAACACCACCAAGTTCTGTTCTCTATCCTTACTCTGACACTGAGTGTGTCCTCTCTCTCTCTCCCTTCCTCTCTCTCTCTCCAACAGGACGTGTTTGAGATGCGCTTCGCCAAGATGCCAGACGAGCCCGAGGAGACGTTGGTTTCGGCTCCTGGCCCCGCGCTGCTCCAGTCCTCCGCCCCCATCATCAAGTCCCAGCCGCCACCCATCCTAGTTCCAGCCTCTTCCATCCTAGGTCCAGCCTCCTCGGTCAAACACCCCGCTTCCTCCTCGGACAGCTCCAGTGATTCGTCATCGGAGTCGGAATCCTCCACCAACGACTTGGAGGAGGAGAGAGCCCAGAGACTGGCCGAGCTACAGGAACAGGTGAGGAAAGACCGAAGGAAATAGAATATTTTGGGAGATATTGTTTTTATTTACTTTTTATTGATCCTTTCTGAGAATTAGATTTATTTTACAAGTGAGATCTGAGTATTATATTTAAAAAAGAACAAGGCAACAGCAAAACAACAACATTGAATGCAAATAGGATGGGATTTTTCACCTGATTTGAGGGATTCCAGCTTCTCTGATGACATCTCTATTCATCATACATTATTGTAATGAACAGAACCCCCTCATAACTATCATCTTCCTGATATTTCTATGTTGGCACTAATGGCATCAATTTGTGATACATTTGATGGATAAATAAAGTTGTTTCAAATCGAATTGAATCCTTGAGGGTGGATGAGGGGTACTGTGTCATTTCTGACCCCATGGGATATTTGGTGACTTCCAGTCAATGCCTATCCATTGTGTTTGACCGTTTTAATTTCCTTTCTGTCTGTTTCAGCTCAAAGCTGTCCACGAGCAGCTGGCGGCCCTCTCGCAGCCACAGGCCAGCAAACCAAAGAGGAAAGAGAAGGAGAAGAAGAAAGACAAGCACAAAAGGAAAGGAGCGGTGGAGGAGATCCCGGAGCCGGCCATCCAGTTCCCCAAGAAGTCCAAGAACAACAGCAGCAGCAGCAACAACAAGGAGCTGCTGCCCAAGAAGACCAAGAAACCCAGGTAGCAACAATAATAGCCTTTTCACACTACTGAGCCAAGCTGAGAAGAGGGGTATGCTACAAGGCAGGACCAAGGAGTAAGCCAGCTAACTTGCCTAAATATTTTGATATACGTTTTTTGTTATTTTGTTGATGAGCTGGAAATGGGCATGGTCGAATTAATAAAAAACCCCGAAAACAAATATTTAAATGTAGCTTTTTAAATTAACCTGAAAATCAAGAGTTATGTCTGGTTGCTTATTAAAGTTAACTGGCTAACTCATTGATCCTGCTTTGTAGTATACCCCTCTGTACTGCACTGGACTGGTTCTCCAACGCACGGTACAATACACAGCTATGGGTATTTCTGTCTTAGGTGTGGTATTAGTACAGAAGTCAGGACCTGTGACATTTACACAGAATTTGCTGAGCGCATGGATTGTATTGACACATTATAAACATTGCTGACTTCAAAGCACTGATTGTCTTTGTCAAATTACTTCACGAAGCTGTTTTGTTGTTAATCCTCTAAGCCATTTATAAGCTTCTAATGTCTAAATTCCACAGCAAGTGTGTAAACATGATTTGTGTAAACATGATTTGTGTTCTCCCTCTGCCTTGGGCTCTCTCTGCATTTCACATAGATGTTATGTTACTGTGGCTACATTCCAATGTCCCATATACTAGCATACTACTTAGATACTTCGTTCTAAGTGGTATGCTTGTATGGACATTGGAATAGAGACAAAGGTTGAAGTAGTATTCCAGTTGAAATAGTACTGATGGTTTATATGTTCTGCTCTGATCTTGGCAGTAAGAAGGAGGGAGGTGCGGTGAAGAACAACCGCTCTGCAGCCGTGGGCCCTCAGGCAGCGCTGCAGCCCCCAGCTCTGCAGCCCGTGTCGGGCTTGGGGGAGGGCCTGGAGGAGGACCCGGCTGCAGCCGGAGCCCCCGGGGAGAAGGGTAAACCCATGTCGTACGAGGAGAAGAGGCAGCTGAGTCTGGACATCAACAAGCTGCCCGGTGACAAGCTGGGTCGTGTGGTCCACATCATCCAGTCCAGAGAGCCCTCGCTGAAGAACTCCAACCCCGACGAGATCGAGATCGACTTTGAGACGCTCAAGCCGTCCACGCTGAGGGAGCTGGAGAGATACGTGTCGTCGTGCCTCCGCAAGAACAAGAAGAAGGTTCCTGGTGAGTCTCATCATGAATGTCTTTGCCTCCCCCTATGGACCAAACAGAAACTCCCTGAGCACCTACAAATAATTTGTCATTTAATAATGTTGCATAATTAATTCAAATCAATCCCAAAATGACAGTTACAAAACATGAATAACAAGAAGAGGTATTGATAAGGACTTTTCCACAGCTTTCCTCTAGCTCCTAGATCACTCTTTTAAAAAATCGGTTTGCCAAGCGGTTTCCTTTAAAACTGTCTGAGCAATGCAGTGTGTTATGTTGACCTAACATGTTCGGGGAAGATAGTTTGTCTTGAGAAGATGTCGAGTCACGTGCTGCCCTCTCCTATAGTGGCAGAGAAGACCATGGAGGCCATGACGGCCGCCAAGACCAAGGCCAGCTCCTCCTCTGACTCGGACAGCAGCGACTCCAGCTCCTCAGACAGTGATGAGGAGAAGGGTAGGGACACGCCCTTCTTATTTCACTCCTCAAATGTTGTTTTAAGCCTATAATATCTTCTTTGGTTTGAAGCATTGAGGTATTTCGCATGTGCCTCATTATTTACCTCATGCATATATCATGGTCAATACTTGAATATTTGACAATCTCACATTGTGGCTGTGGTCAACAGATTTTTCTAACGTATTCAGAATTGATAGAAGAAAGCTTCATTTAATAGTCAGGATCTCCTTCTCTCTCCCTTCTCTTGTCAGGAATAGCTCCTAAACAGAAGAAAGGCCACGGGGCCAACGAAGGGAAGAAGACCCATCTCCACCACGCCTTGTCTGGAGCTGGTCCCCTCCCCCAGGGCCACCCTCACCCCCAGGCTCACCCTCACCCCCAGGCTCACCCTCACCCCCAGGCTCACCCTCACCCCCAGGCTCACCCTCACCCCCAGGCCCACCCTCACCCCCAGGCTCCTGTCCTGCAGCCCAGCATCCACCTGAAGCACCAACAGCACCATAACCCCTCCCCCGCCACCTACATTGCCCCTCCTCCCCCGGTAAGATTGATTGAATTTATTAGATAATTAAAAGTAGTAGCCTGCTCTAGCCGGAGACAACATATTTGACATTTTAGTCATTTAGATAGCTAGGTGAGACAACCACATATCACAGTCGTAGGTACATTTTCCCTCAGCAAAGCAATAGACAATATACAAAACATATATAGCAAGCATTTCGCTACACCCGCAATAACATCTGCTAAATATGTGTATGCGACCAATAACATTTGATTTGATACGGATGGGGACTGTACAGCAGGGACTATACAGCTGATTCAAAAAGCATTTGTTCACATCACAGATCAGGAATCACTGAAAAGTGCAGCAGTGAAGTTCAGTGTATGATTGTGCGTGTGTGTAATGTCTAGGTAACGGTCACGGCGTTGGAGTCCTCCCAGCTGCTGGAGAACACGTTTGATTCGCTGCCCCACTTCGGCCAGCAGCCCCTCATGCACCTGTCCCAGCACCACCACTCCTCGTCGCCCGCCGTGCCCCCCCACCTCAACGCTCACTCCGCAGCGGGGCCCGTGTCCCCAGAGACGCACCCCTTTCTCAACCAGCACCCCATCCTCCCCAACCCTAACCCAGGTAAATCCAGACCTCTTCAAGCCACACCTGCCTGAGGTCAGATAGTCTTTTGTATTTTTTTTCTAATACTTGAGCTGTGGTTGATTTGAGCTTGCCTGGCGTAATGGGACCAATGGAATAGTCCATAATGTGCCAACCCCACCCATCTGGTGTACTGGGCAGCCTCGATCGAACGCAAGCAAAGTATTTGAAAGAAAACAAACACTATTTGAACCCAGTTCTGCAATAAGTCTGTCTCGCGTTATCCTAAACGTTTATTCTAAGCATTTATTGACCTACAATTAGATTAACTAGGCAGTCCTTTTACTTTTTTTCAATGTGATGTTTCCATCCTGACTCTGCTAACCACATTTTCTCATTGTTTCCCTTCCTCTTCTTCACCTGTAGCTTTGCACAACGCCTTGCCCCAGCAGCCGTCTCGACCCAGCCACAGGGCAGCAGCTCTACCTCCCAAACCCCTCCAGCAGCAGCAACCAGCGCCCCAGCCCCAGCCAACCCTACAACAACAACAACAACAACAGCAGCTCCAGCCACAAGCCCCTCCACCCCAGCATCACCTCCCGCCCCACATCCTCCACCCCGCCCCCCCTCAGTCCCTGCAGCAGCGGCCCCTGTCCCCCCCCACCCTCACCCCTCAGGGCCTGCTGTCCTCCCAGCCCCCTCAGATGCTCCTGGAGGACGATGAGGAGGTGATTCCGCCCTTACCCCTCAGCCAGGTGCATCTCTACCTGCAGCAGCTCCAGCAGGGACAGAGCCAGGGACGACCTGGCCAACAACCACACAATCCCCAGCAGATCATGCAGTCTCTCCAGGTTCGCCAACAACAGAACCAGGCTCCCCTCCTGCAGTCTGTACAGGTCTGTATTGTGTATATGTTGAGTGTGTAATATATTTATTTTAGGGCTGTCCCCGACAAAAAAAAAGATATTGATCGACCGAGATTCGTCCTGTTCTTTCGACCAATCAATTGGTCGGCATGTTTAAACTTATTTTTCCATATATAGGCAGACACACCCTATGTGTTTGAATAAAATAACTACATATGCACTGAGCTTGTCTGATGCACACTGTTTGATTTACACAAATAACAAAAGAAAGAGCCTGATGATCACACTGTGTTTAAAAAAGACAGTGAGTGCCTGTGTGACTGGCGCACGTTGTCTCGCTCTCCTCCCTACTGCAGCAAAAGACAGCACAGCAAGTGTTTATTGCGCTGTCCGTGCTGAAGCTGCAACATACTTTCAGCCATTTAGTTTCTTACTTGTTTCTGACTGAAAAGTTATGTTACCGAAATTCCTAATTTGTTTAGGAAAAACATTCCCTATTCCCTCAACCCTTGCTCTCTTTACGTCAAAACATGTAAGCATCGCATGCATGTGACCAATAGGGCCTGATCTGTAGCCTATCATAATCACATCAATAAATTGGTTATAACAAACTACGAACACAGTAATGTCGACAACCAAATGGATGCGGAGGACGTGAAAAAGAAACTCAAAACGGGCAAATGTTTACTGGTTGCTCAGGAGGGAAAGGGGAAGTCAGATCTGTTGAAGACATTTGACTTAGTTGTGGAAACTACTGGAGATCAAGAAATAGGAGGGTATAGGAGCAAGCGTTGTGAGTATTATGTGTGCCAAACAGTTGCTGTTAGATTACAATATTATTTTTTCTGACCATTTGGAAAAGTGTAAACAACACTAAAGTGTACCAGAGAGTGTTCTAATGAAATAAAAAGATAAAGCCTTTATTACAGCAGACTAAAAACAGTTGCATGCATTCGTGAATTGCGATGTATTTATTGTTTAGGCTAATTATTCAAAGCTCCCTTTGTTATTTCATTTTAAAACTAAAATGCTTGATTGCATTTCAAAGCATGAATGTCTTGTATGCTGTCTGATGGCATGAACGAATAAACTATTGATTGATACAGTAGACTAAATATTGAAATATAGGCCTAAGTAAGTTACGGTATTAAGACTATAAACAGGACACACTCTTAGGCCTACAGCTCGATGGTGGTTATACAAGGCTACTCTATAAAGCCTACTAATGATAACGACATTATTTATTATTATAATGATGATCATAATAATAATTGTAATAACAATAAGAAGGAGACCAAAAAGGAGGGTATAGGAGCGATAGCTGTGTGCATATTATGTGTGACAAACGGGTGCTGTTAGATTACAATATTATTTTCCTGCCTGTTTGGAACAGCGTAAACAACACTAAATAATAAGTAACACCAGTCTGTTCTAACAAAATAATTTTATAAAGATTAAAAACAGACAACTCTGAAGTTGCTTTATCCAACATTTTGCTGTTGCATGAGGCTTTGTGCTCATGGAATCAGTAGGCTATTAAACAAACACTCAAACAGGCAACAGAAGCAAGATCTGTCTTATTTCTGTAGATATAAATGGATGATTTATAAAGCCAGGCACGTTTAACAGCTAGGTCCAAAAGGCTTCTTAACAGCTTCTACCCCCAAGCCATAAGGCTCCTGAACATCTAATCAAATGGCTACCCAGAATATTTGCATTGTCCTTCCCCAACCCCCTCTTTTTACGCTGCTGCTACTCTCTGTTTATTATCTATGCATAGTCATGTTAATAACTCTACCTACATGTACATATTACCTCGACTAACCTGTGCCCCTGTACATTGACTCTGTACCGGTACCCCCTGTGTATATAGCCTCGCTACTGTTACTTTACTGCTGCTCTTTAATTATTTGTTGTTTTTATCAATATTTTACTTAACACATATTTTTCTTAAAACTGCATTTTTGGTTAAGGGCTTGGAATTAAGCATTTCAATGTAAGGTCTACACCTGTTGTATTCGGCGCATGTGACAAATACAATTTGATTTGATTATAGACCTAATTAAGTTGGGGTTTGCTATCTCCACAATTTTCTTAGACAATTAGGCTAAGCCCTATTCGCACGGGACTAGTATTACTAGACAACATTGGTTACGTAATTATTATTCCAGAATGCCCGTTATTCCAGAGGATGATTCGGACGGTGTTCGTTTTTTCCAAACTGCCCCCTGTAATCCTTTATTTTTTATAAATTGACAGTTATGACGGAAGCCTGGAGGTTTTTTTTCTAGGCGTCAAGTCCAGGCGATAACAGGGCTACACTGATAACTCGAGCTTGGTTCCCAACTTTCTGTCGCCATAATATTTCAATTGAGGAATGTGATCATAACCATTAGGATATTTTAGCAATCCGCAGTAGACGTCCTAATTGCCCCCCAGCCTTCAGATGTGAGCTAAACAGTGCACTTGAGATGCGTTTTAAGGCTATGGATGCGAAAGTGAACTTAACATTTCCAAACGTTTAGGTCAGTTGTATGCTGCTTTGCAATCTATTAACAGCAAGGATCACATTTAAATAGGCGCAATATTTTTTACTGATGAATTTGGCAATATTCTATTCATTTGCACAAAACATATGAACAAAAGCATTCACTGTGAAAGTTGATACATGTAGGCCCTTCATATATAGGCTATTTGCAGCACTTCGTTCAATTTATTGAATCAGTTATTGTTTTCTTGCTCCAACCGTGAGCAACACCTGTCAAACTCAAACATTTCTCTCAAAACACAGGGATGTCGATTCGCAGGGACTAGTATTATCAGAGGACCTTGGCATTTGCCAAAAAACAGTAGGTTATTCTGGCTGGAATTGTTTAAAAAATATATTAAAACATACAATCTACCTGCAGTGAAGCCGCTCAACATTTTCAGTCATCTAACCGGCTCCGTCCAGAACGACCTACAGGAGCAACCAGGGTCAAGCGCCCCGCCCAAGGGCACGTCGACAGATTGCCCACCAAGTCAAAACGGGCACCCGAACCAGCGACCCACCGGCCCAAGCTCCCAACCGCCAGGCCACCAATCATCCAAGATCCTCCCACAGTTCCCAGAGAGCTGCCCCTCAACCATCCGAGACCCCTCCCCCCTCCCAAAAAAACAAACACAACAAAAACCTCTCCCTCCTGGCTGGCATGGTTACTCTCCTGCCATTTACAAATTACTGACATTTGGACGGGACTAAAATTACTGATGTGGTGTTTTGTGCTTGTGCACATAATTACATTACCTGACCACCCCCAGTAAAATAAGTCCCGTCTGAATAGGGCTTAAGGCAAGGGTTGTTTCCTCGTCTCTGCATTGTTCTCAATCCCAATATGCTGGTTAATTTTGCTATTATGTACATGGCAACATAGGGAAAGGCGCCAATTCTACGGTATACTATCCAACGCGGGAGAAAGCGTATTTGTTATAAAATAATATTAGATTTAGATTGCACCTTTATTTTTACATAATATAACCATATACAATTTCAGTATCACATGTCTTAGAGTGAGGGACTGCGCCATCCCCGTGGTTGCCGCAATGGATTAGTCCACTGAGACAGGCGCGACTCAGACGGGTGTCTTGTGCACCATGAAAAATAATAATAATTGCAACTGCTCGACTAAACAGAATCTGTCGACCAACAGCTTATCGACCGAACAATCGACCAGTCGACTAAATGGGGTCAGCCCTAGTTTATTTGGATCCCCATTTAGCTTTTGCAGAAGCAACAGCTACTCTTCTTTGGGTCCACATAATGTATATATAATATTTGTGTTGTTTATGTTGAGTGTGTAATGTACATTGTTTATTTCTTATACAGAATCACTGTGTGTCTTAGTAAAATTTGCCCTATGGGACATTAAAGTGATCCTATCCTCCTATCCTAGGTGCAGCCCTCCCAGCCCTCTCTTCAGCCGCCCCAGCTCTTAGTCCAGCCCCCCCAGCCCCAGTCCAAACCCACCCCCCCCTCGCGCCACCCCCAGCAGATCCTACCCCCCGCACCAGGTAGCCCGCCACCTGCAGCAGCATGCCCAAATGGGTTTCCCGTCCCAGGGGCCGGTGGTGCAGCAGACGGGTCAGTCAGACAGGCAGGCCGCTGCAGCGCAACACAAGGGGTCCATGCAGTCCTCCACCAAAGCACAGCACATCATCCAACAACAGCAACATCCCTCCCCTCGACAGATCAAGGCTGATCCATACAACAGTGGTGAGACTCAAGTGTTGATTTGGTTGATTTAAATTGGTAGATTGATTGGAAGACTAGTGTTCACACCCCTATCCATAACAGTCAGTCAGTGGTTGGTGATCCAGATCGTCTTTTCTTCAATCTCAACACCTGGAGAAGTGTGTAGTGTCTCAGGAACCACATTATTGTAACATAGCAATCTATACAGTGTGACTGCAAAAGAGACAACCTGGAACGCCACGTCGTGAGTTTCAGTATGTTAGGACACTGTGCTGTAGGATTTGAATCAGACTAAATGGTGATTCTAATCATTCCCTCTCTCTGTTCTGCCTACAGGGCACCTAAGGGAGAATCCCTCCCCCATCATGATGCATTCCCCCCACCTCCCCCAGTATCCCCCTATAACGCACCAGTCTCCAACACACAACCTGCAGCCCAAGAAAGTGAGTAGCGTCTCTATTTCTGTCAGTCTGCATCTGTTTTGCAAACGTGGATTCAAATAATATTCGTTTTCTCTCAAAACTATATGGATTGTTTGAGCTTGCCTGGAACAATGGAGTTAATTGACTAGCCTTAACAAAAAGTGCGCCCCAGGCAGGCTCAATCAAAAGCTAAAGGTATTTAAACGAAAACAAATACAATTTGAATCCCTGGTTGTGCCGTGTGAAGTTCGATAGAGCCTCTGTGTGTGTGTGAGGAATGTACGTGTTAACCTTTTAAGCCACAACCCTGAGTCTGTTTTTCAATGGGTGTATATTATTCATCGAAACGACCGTTGAACAGCAGAACATCTTCCAGAATGTGCCTTTAACCCTGTCCGGCTGTGTGCTGTGTGTTGAAGGAGCAGCGTGCACCCCCGGCCCTGGTAGGTTTGAAAGAAGAGAAGCTGCCTCGCTCTCCAGTGATGGGAAGAGGAGGCGAGCCCTTCAGCTCAGCCATGAGACAAGACCCTCACAAACACCCAGACAGCCACAGCAAGCCCTCTCTACCCGGCCACGTACAGCAGAGTGAGTACACTGGTATTTGTGTGTTTTTAACTATTCTTGTGGGTACCAGAAGTCCTCACAAGGATAGTAAAACAAGAGAAATTCAGAGAAGTTGTGATTTTTTGCCGGTCCCCACAAGTCTTTTTTTAATGTTAGGGTTATGGTTAGGTTAAGGGTTAGGGTTAGATTTAGGGTTAGGGAAAATAGGATTTTGGATGGGAATCAATTCATTCGTCCTCACAAGGATAGCAATACAAAACTGTGTGTGTTAGGGCTGGGCAGTATACTGTATAGTCAATGCAGCAGATGCAACAAGATGTCAATGACAATGAAGCTGCTTTCTACTTTGCATCTTTATATAAATCCACAAGGGTTCTATAATTACACTGTTAGTTTGTCTTTTACTGTCTGCAAACAGCTAGTTTGTCTTTTCTTAGCAAGTTGTGGCTAAAATAGTGTTAGCCGCTAATGCTAATCGCTAGTCAGCTGGCTAGCTAATAAATGTATTGCGTCAGAACAGATGTAGCTAGCTAATACAACCTGATTTCAGTGTTAGTGTAGGCCTATATCAGTGTGTTTGTGCATCAGTGTCTTCTAAATCAGAAAGGAATAGGCGAAGCATGAATATGTTAGCTACATGAAGTAAGAGAAAACGTAAAATGTAGCCAAAGGTTATAGGGTCCCCTGGGAAACACTGACCAACACTTTGGTTTCTACTCTGTCACAATAACTCCTTGGCATTTTCATTCGTTGTCATGTCAAACACTGTATTCAAAGTGCCCACTATTATATTCTAACTATAGAATTAGAATAATCATTTATATTTCCATGATTCCAACAGTTCAAAGTGTTTTGCTCTAAATCGCAAGTCAATATTTGGTTAAAAACAAGGCCTAGATTTATTGCCCATATCGTGCAGCCCTGCGTGGCAGTTTGGAAATGATCTCAAATGAGGAAATGCAGAAATTGATGAATATGCCCCCCCCCCAAAAAAAATTTTGTTGAAGTTTGATTGAACAGTATAAAACAATCAGAATGGAGAAAGACCCATTAAAAACACTAAGAATATGTGTTGCCACCCGAGGGTCATGCACTACTCATAAAGCAAATGTAGAACTTTTATTATTCAAAAACATAAAATACTGTCAATTAATTTTTTATACTGTGATATGATCTTTTGGCCCCAGCTCTAGTGTGTTTTATTTCTGGGTGTACTATTTATGGGGGTGTACTATGCGTGTGTGTGTGTGTGTGTGTGTACTGTGTGTGGAAGAACAATATTGGGGAATAGTGCTCAGATGCAGACAAACACGTTCCATAAGAATAAACGTGATTGTGTGTGGTGTTATGTGTACAACAAATGAGCAAATGCGTGCTATCTTTTTGACATGCTCTGTATTCCTTGTATGCGTTTCCGTGCATCAGATGTGAAGACGATGGACAGCTCTCGGCCGGTCATCCGTTCCTCAGAGCCCAGCGGTCCTCCCTCCTCCTCCCTGCCAGACAAGGACAAGTTCAAACAGGAGCCCAAAACGCCCGTCGCCCCCAAAAAGGTACAGGTGGTTGAAAGACAGGGCAGCACGTTGCCATACACACACACCTTATTATAAACATATGGGACGGCAGGTAGACTAGCAGTTAAGAGTGTTGGACCAGTAACCGAAAGGTCAAATCCCAGAGCCGACTAGGTGAAAAATCTGTCGACATGCCCTTGAGCAAGGCACTTAACCCTAATTGCTCATGTAAGTCGCTCAACAGTTTCCCGTGTGTATCAAAGAATGGTCCACCACCCAAAGGACATCCAGCCAACTTGACACAACTGTGGAAAGCATTGGAGTGAACATGGGCCAGCATCCCCGTGGAATGCTTTCGACACCTTGTAGAGTCCATGCCCCGGCGAATTGAGGCTGTTCTGAGGGCGGGGGGGGGTTGCAACTCAATATTAGGAAGGTGTGTTCCTAATGTTTGGTATACTCGTATATTATCTCTAATTATGAGAATACCATCAGACCCAAACTATTGAAATGAGTGGCTATGTGATGAGTCAACCCGTTGTTCAGTCATGATCAAATACTAACGTATCTGCTCTTCCTCATGTCTGTCTGTCTGTCTCCATCCGTTTATCTTTCCATCTATCCGTCGGTCAGGATGTGAAACTGAAGAACATGGGCTCGTGGGCCAGCCTGGCCCAGAAGTCCACGTCGGCGCCCTTGTCTGCAGTGAAGTCGTCTAGCGACAGCTTCGAGCAGTTCCGCCGGGCCGCCCGGGAGAAAGAGGAGAGGGAGAAGGCTCTTAAGGCCCAGGCTGAGCAGGCTGAGAGGGACAAACTGCGCCGGGAGCAGGAGAAACTACGGTGAGGGTTACAGTTGGGTTGTCTTCAAAAACACATTTTCAACCCTGCATTAAATGTTTCTTTGTGTATTTCAACATCGATGTTTGACAATAAATGTTCTGTGTGTGTGAGTGAAGAAAATGTGTCAAATTAAGTTTCACTTTGCTGTTATATGAGTCTTGCGGGTCTGGGATTGTCGAGGGAAAGAACATACCACGTTAGCTACCAAGCCTTTGCGAAACACATTCCTTTTCTGTCTCTCTCCCTCTCTCTGTCTGAATGAACATCATTTGTCAAATTGAAGCACTTTGCTGTTCTATGAGTAAGTCTTGGTCGTCAAGAGAACGTTGTCTACAATGCCTTTGGGAAACTCACTCCTCTCTCTCTCAGGGGTCGTGACAGGGATGATGAGGATATCCTTGAGCCTCAGCAGCAGCAGTCGAGGAGGGTTCATGAGGAGCCTCGAAGCAGACGGCTGGAGCAGCAGCAGCAACACATCCAGACCCCCCAGGCCCAGCAGCAACCCCAGGCACCAGCCCCCCAGGCCCAGCCCGCTGCCCTCCCCCAGCCCCCACAGGCCCCCACACCGCCCCAGCCCTCAGCCCAGGACCAGCAGAGGGAGCTAGCGCGACGCCGCGAGCAGGAGAGGAGGAGGAGAGAGGCGGTGAGACTAGTTTCCCACATAGTTGGAAGGTCTGGGAATTCCCAGGGTCCTCACGATACGATGTTATCGCGGTACTTATTATTGCGATTCCATGGTCCAAACATATTGCTCACCATATGTCTGATGCAGATACATGAGTCATTAAAAAAAGTTTTGATCATTCATGGGAATAAGTGCTGAAAACAAATTGGTTCCCTATTTAAAAAGAAGATTGAGAAAAAGCTTTGAAGGAAAAATAATGGAGTTTTGGTGCAGATACAGCCAACTAGTGCAAAAATAATATTGCGATATTGTCAAAACGATATGATATTGTCAAATAATATCCCCATATGTAACAGGATCAATTGCATGTCCTATCTCATGTATTGCATTTTATAAAACATTTTGTTTTACATATCCATGTTTTTTTTTAATTGTTTTTTAAATATTTCCCTTTATTACTTTCCAACCCCACCATCCCTTCCCTAATTGGAGTAAACTAGTGAACAACAATGCTTAGGCCTCTACTTCATGCTTATACATACTATATACATTTTATGGACACAGTCTATAATTATATTTTGTTTGTTTTTACTCCTGAACTTCCTCCGATCATTTTCATGATGTCCATCTGGTTTGCTTCTATATGCCATATCTTTCTAACTGTGCTCTTTCACAAAAGCTCACAATATATAACCTATATACTTATTATGGACACAGCATGTCTTACACTAGTTATCTTGTTGTTATTAGTTGTTGTTATTAGTCCCATCCTTCAGCTCCATTCAACACCTCCCATCTATCTCTTAACACCATCCATATCCATGTCTTTGGGAATTGACAGAAGGGAAGAAGCACAAAAGCAGTGTCCTTAATGAGTTTATGTTGTGATCAGTCTCTATGCCGTATTCAGTCTCTCAGCTCTTCTGACACCTCAATCTCTTTCCTCTACCCTCTACAGATGGCGGCGACCATCGACATGAATTTCCAAAGCGACCTGATGGCTATCTTTGAGGAGAACTTGTTCTGATGACGAGAGAACCCCCAGAAACTTGAAACTGCAAAAAGAACACATAACGGAATAATGAATATGGAATGGAACATTTTTTATGAAATGGAATCTTCTGTATGACATCACAGATGGGGGGGGGTTAATGAACCAAGATGCAGGACATGAATTAAACAATTCCCGCCCCCCCCTCTCCAGAGCAGGGCAGACAGGGTTATCTTCAGCTGGACTGGCCCAGACTGGCGAGATACTACTGGGCTGTTAGCTGCTCTGCTATGCAGCCTCTTTGGAAGTAAGATGCCACATTGAAGGAGCGACCTAAACAGGATATTTTCAACCGCGTTTGGTGTCGTTTCTCTGGGGGATTTGACCCTTGTTGAGGGAAAGGACTCCTGGTGGTCATGTAATGTCACACCTGTTTGATACTTTCACATGGGACAGAGCGAAGGAGAACAATCTTGTAAATGGAGTTAAAGACGATAACGGAAACACAGTAATGGTGAACTGCTCTGAGAAACAATAAAGTACTGATGCGTATGTACGGACCGAGGCGTTCAAATAGACTGCCAGACAGACGTCTGTCTGATAAGAGAGGCAGAATAAGTATTTTTATGTGATCTGTTTTTTGTTTTGTTAGAGAAAGAACACATGCAAGGAAATGGTGGGGACTTCAACTTGAGGGAAGTCCCCACCAATGAGGGACTTCAACTTCTGACATGTATTTTTTCTCAGGAGAGGAGGTACAGTACAGCTTTGCCTTCGGCCTCACTCCTGTCCATTGTCCACACACACACACACAGACAGTACATTAGATAGGCCTATCTCTCCCTGCCTGGGCATATGAACAAATCAGTAACAACAAAGTATGGGACAGTCCACCGGCAGCAGGAGGGAGAAAGCAGAATTAAGTGCAGATTTGTTTTCATTATGTAGGATCTACTGTAAAGAGGTATTTTCTTATTCTATAATTACTGTTTATTTGTTTTTTTAAATATATTTTTATTTTTACCCCGCCCTCCCCTCACCAACACACTTCCCCCACCGTCTATGCCAAACAACAATTACCTTTTTAATGCTGAACTCCTCCTACTTCTCCTTTTAAAAAAACGCTTCTTTGTTCATATAACGTGTTTTTTCTTAATAATATATAAATAGATTGTTTTCCTTGTCCTGTTCACCCCTCTTCACACAAAGCTTTTAGGTAGTTTTTTAAGAGGATAAAACCTAATATATGCATTATTCCGACAAGTGTTATTAATTAAAGAACCATTTGAAGTTTTCATATTTCCTTCGTCATCTGAAGCTGGAGCAAAACATTCTGATCACTACGAGAGGCAGAGCAGAGGCAGAGCAGAGGCTTAGTCCCAAATGGCACCTGATTCCCTACATAGTGCACTAATTTAGTAGTGCACTATAAAGGGAATAGGATGCCATTTGGGATGAAGCCAGAGTCCAGCTGTTTCTAGAGCTATGTCTTGGTTGGTTTGAATGGGAGTTCACCATCACTGTAACACCTTATAGTGTATTATTACGCTTAGAGACAGCTAGGAAAGTGGTCATTAATTAATGAAATGTTCCTATTTTGCAGCTGATTCACAAACTATTGAACCAGAGAAGCAGTAACTATTACTGAACTGTTTGATTTATAAACTGTTTATTCCTCCCTTTTCCTTGCTCGTATATTGGCCTGGAATTTGCATAGGTAAAATTAAAATAATATGTTACATTATCCACACTAGCATACTACTTACAGTGAAGCAATGTATTGGACATGCAATATAAGTGGTGTGCTGGTATGGTTATTTGAACATATCCAAAGTGTTTTAATCTGGTAGTGAGCCCGCCACTCTACTTTCTGTAATTTGGGGACAAGGAATGGGGTGAGAGGCAAACCTCAAAACATAATTAGTTCTAACAGCAACTTTATTGGGATCTTATAAGAACAGATTAGACACTTCTTAAAGATTTAGTTCCAGGATGCATCCAAAATGCTCCCTATATAGTGCATTACTTTTGACCAGGGCACATGGGGTACTGTAGTGTACTATATAGGAAATAGGGTGCCATTTGGGATGTAACTCCACCCTCCAGACTTTACTAATGCAGAGAGCAGAGACCAAAAAATAGCTCCACCTCCTGGCTAGTCTGTGCATGAGTCTTATCATTATGACTACCATTAATCAGAGGGCAACTCTTTTAGCCGTACACAAATATGAGAAATTAATAAATGACAATAATAATAATACGTTCTAGAAGAAAACCCTACAAAAACAGCTCTGATTTCTATAATTTTTCTTGTTCGATTCTAGTGGATACATGTGAGTTGTAATTCTGTTGGTGAGGGGGTCACAGGTCGAGGGTCACGACGAGTTGACCTCTGACCCGGTCCTCTGAGTTTTCTCTTATGGTGTTTTTCTCCAGTGCCTGTATTGTTCTATGATACTAGTTGGCATATATTACACTTGGGGTGGATACAGTATGTACGGGTGGGAAGGGACTGGGAGGTGTAATATTTGACGGGGAGGGAGGGAGATTTAGGATAAGCTTGTGTAAAAAGTCAAAGGAAAAGTCAGCATTTTCTATTTTACCCATTTAACGATATTCAGGTTTAAATCTAGTTTTAGCTGGACTTCTGTGGTATGAGTGTACACTTGACTCAACTACTTTCTCATTTTCATTCAATCAGTACAGTTTTGAGTAGACATGTCTCTGTGCCGCGCCACATTAGCATTTGTGTGTCAGAACGTTTGTGTGGATGAGTGTGTATGTATGATTTTAGCATGTGGCGCAGGGACGCATGTGCCCCATTTGTAGAAAAGCAATTTAAAATGGGGATGAAGATTAATATACAAAATGCTACGAGAACGAGTTTCTTTGCTAAAGTCACAGTCATCATTTTGATGAAGTCCACCATATATGAATAGCCTATATATACTTTTGTTTTGTTAGACAAGTTATGAAAAGGTAAAATACTTTTTCATTCCTTCAAGCCTTTTATTAATTCCTTCTTTTTATCCCCATGGTAACTGATGGACGTTAAGTGCCATAGATATGGATTCTTCTTCAGAATGTGCTCAGCAGAGAGTTTGCTTTTATTCAGGTTTTTTATTTTGTGTAAAATTTTTGGTCTTTTGTTTTTTGGGGGGTTTTGTGTAACATTTTCCTCGATTATTGTTTGGTATGTGAGTGGTCTGTCGAGGTCAGTGATTCAATCTGTTATGATCATGGAGTAAACTCATCTCTTTTATAGAAAATAAAAAAGAAACAAAATGTTGGTTTTCCTCTTTTTCATTACATTGGATTATGGTAATAAGGGCTCTGGACTGGTTTCCTTAGTGAAGTCCTACGTTTGGTTCCGTGATGTCGGGGATGGACAATTTATGTAGTACGGTACTGGTGCAATCTATATCTGTAAAACTATCTCATACTTTCTTAGGGATACTAACTTTTTTTCCTTTTGAGGGAGAGAGATTGGAGGAATAGTGAAGCTTCCCATTTGTAGCATATACAGTGCCTTCAGAAAGTATTCATACCAGGACAAAAAGTTAATTGCTTTGCCATATTTCTTGCAGTATTCATTTAGTGCCTTGTTGCAAACAGGATGCATGTTTTGGAATATTTTTATTCTGTACAAGCTTGCTTCCTTTTCACCCTGTCAATTAGGTTAGTATTGTGGACTAACTACAATGTTGATCCATCCTCAGTTTTCTATCACAGCCATTTAAAGTCACCATTGGCCTCATGGTGAAATTCCTGAGTGGTTTCCTTCCTCTTCGGCAACTGTGTTAGGAAGGACGCCTGTATCTTTGTAGTGACTGGGTCTAGTGATACCCTTCTAAAGTGTAATAACTTCACCATGCTCAAAGGGATATTCAATGTCTGCAATAGGTGACCTTCTTTGCGAGGCATTGGAAAACCTCCCTGGTCTTTGTGGTTGAATCTGTTTCAAATTCACTGCTTGACTGAGGGAC